TAAGTAAATAAACAAACACTGTAAACCATGCCCTTGACATGTTTCCACCACACTAACCAGCAACTAAAGCATCCTTAGGCCATCGGCTGAACCAGTCAATAGTGCATCCTGAGATAAGGGCTGGGAACTTCAAAGCTCGGTTTCGAAATTTCTCCCCCACTGGTGAAAAACAGAGCACGATATGAAGATTCTGTTGGACCCGACTCATGAAGTAGTCATACAGGTTCTCATTGGTAGCAGGGCGCCTGGGGTATTCTTTTTTCATGACTGATGTCAGATCACCGTTAATTTCATCAATTTCATCTCTAGCAAATAGGTTGGAGACCTTAAAAGAAGTACAGGTTTTCAAATACAGTATACACACATGAAAACAAATCAAAATACAGAGCTCTGTATGTATTTGTGTTCTTAAGCTCACCTTTAGAAAATTAACTGAAAGTTTTCAAGATGAAATTCACCACATTTTAAAATACACAAATGATTCTGTTATTACCTGCAAAGTTGTAGCCCTGGCAGGGGGTAAACTAAAAATCGAATCAGCTTTCCTTCTAGCCTCCCTACTCTGTTTTTTCATTTGTCACTTGGGGCATTCACTGACATTTTAAATGCTTACCTCCACATTTTGATGGGGAGTTTTAGTCTTTAAAAACCCCATAGAAAACATACTGATCACCTAATCTCCAACAGCACTTACTCAAAACTCTAATGGAAGGAAGTACAGAGAGCTCTAAGTTGGAGGAAATCTGAAGAGAGAAAACACATGCAGAACAAACAAGCTCCTACCTCACCCGACGATAAAACATTGTTCATATATTCCAAAAATGACTCATCTTTAATCTCATTGTCTGTGAAAATAAATGTGATTCCTTTGCCTTGTTGACCAGCCGTTCTATACAAAACCTTTAGATCTTCCATCAGATTTGATGTGTTGTAGGATCTAAAGAAACATTATCATTGGATCATTAGCTAAAAAATATTTTCATGGTGAGGAAAAAAACCTTATAACAATGTTTTATGCTATTTAGCTAACTAAAAAATGCTGATTTTGTTCCATGATATAAGTATATATTGTATATGAATGTTAGTAGTTGATTGATTTTTAAAGTTCCACATTTCATTATAATTATAATTAATTATATTTTCACACAAAAAAAAACTAGAGTGAAAAGTCAACCTGAAACAAAAATAAAATTTTTACTATAACCAAATGTCATTTGAATGTGTATATATATCATTTTTTTTTTATTTCAGCATATTATGGGGGTACAGATGTTTATATATATCATTTTGAAAATGGTTTTTTTTGGCAATGATAATAGAAAAGTCAAATTAGTTTATTAAGCACCCATATACAATTGGTATTTTAGAAGACATTTCATAAATTAAACTAAACTAAACCAATTCAATTTGATTACATGGGGTGTGGGAGTTGCTCTTCCTCATCCCCAACACCATTATTATCATTGCATCTTTGTATTCTACATAAAAGAGTTCATTTTCTGAGCAATCAATACACTGTAGTAGAATAGCTGGAAATGTTATAAAATAACCCACTCTAAATCTTCTTTCACTATCAAAAGCTATCTTTAAATGAAAGCCAGCCTACAATCAAAAAACGTTAGAGAGGTTCCAATATGGAGTAGTCCATTACCACCGAAAGCATAAATGAAAATATTCCAATCCTGAAGACTCAGACGTACTAAATTATTATTTGTATTTTGAGTCACTAAATAAACTCAGAATTCAGAGCACAAGAGCAAATGACCACGTGATTTTTAAAAAGTTACTAAATATTTAACTCTATTTGCTTTTAACATCTATAAGCTAAACCCTAGGACTGGAAATATCACAGCCATGCATCAGTATTTCTATAAGACATTTAAAGAAGTGACATCCAAGAGATCAGAAAAGAAAACATTTCAAAAATATAGTCCCCCTTTAAAAAAAACAAACAAAGGAAAACATCCCACCCAGCTTCCTGTGATGTGGGGAAATTTTTCAACCCAGTTTCCTGGATCTCAAGGGCCAACTTCCTCAAATACTATGATCTGAGACATCTAACAAATGGTTGTGCTTCCCAAATGTGAGGCTCCTGCATCCCAGCCTTGGCCACATGGCTGTGCAAAGGCTTAAGGAGTAAGATAATATCTCAAAGGCTGTGAAAAGGAAAGGAAGAGCTTAGCCCTTCATTTTGTCAGGAATGGATCATTCCCAGTATGACAGGTAGAGGGAATAATTTGTCCCTCTGAGAGTTGTGGTGGGATATGTTTGCTGAGGCATCGTGATGCAGTACAAGTCACACCAGACTAGAAACCAGAAATCCTACAATCAATTGCCAGCTAGATCTTGGATGTCAGGCAATTCATAGCCTCTCTGAGCTTCAGCTGCAAGATGGGCTATTGCTATCTGTTCTACTAACTCACAAAGTTCTTTTGAAAATAAAATTAGCTCACGCATGTAAAAGTGCTTTGAAAACTACAAGGTTTTATACAAATGTTAGGAATAAAAATCTCAGAGTCTGATCCTTTTCTGTGTAGGTGATCTTTCTTATTTATTTATCTACTTATTTTTATTTCAGAGTATTATGAGGGTACAAATGCTTCCGTGTAGGTGATCTTTTATCTAGCTCAGCTTCTATCCACAAACTAGAAGAATTACACACAAAGTGACTAGAATTATTTCTCTCTGTCCTAGTACTTGACTAAAACAGCAATCTTTGCATTTATTCTCCAAGAAGAACCCTATAGTTCAGTGCATTGTGTAACAACAATAGCTTGAATATCTGGATCTCCAAACCCAACGTTAATAACTTTCAGCCTGTGTCCTAGCAGGTGTCTATGGGCCTCCCTCAGAAAGACGGGTCAGCAGCATGTTTTCCTCATCGATGCCCAGCAGGAAGGACTTCCTGCTTCCACACCTAGAAATTAACCTCCAATAATTTTCAGCTCAACAAAACTTCCCAAACTAGCTTCCTGCTTCTAACCTTATCTTGGTTAACCTTGAAATTCTATTTCAACCTCTGTGAATCACCCCCGCTTATCTCTTCACGTTTACTCTTCACTTTCTAATTCTGTTTTCTCCCTGCACTGCACATACTCAGCGGAGGACTACTCTTCCAGGGTTCCCTGTCTTGGTGAGCAGCAGCACCAGCTAGCTAGTTTCCCGAGCCAGAAACCAGGACGCACCAAGTCCAAGAGCTCCAGCTTCCTAACAATCTCTTGCATCTCCACTCTCCATTTCTCCATTCTCATTGCTACCACTCATTATACCATCATAGCTGACCCAGACCCCTGAGGCAGCCTTAGAACTGCTCAAATTTAGTTCCTTCCATCCATTTTCTGTACATGCAAATCGGACACGTCCTCCCCAGCAGCAACTCATCAATGGTTTCCTACTGCTTTAGGATGAAGTCCCAAATCTTTATCACCCTTTTAAAGGCCTCCATCTCTCTTCCCTTCTTACTTGCTACGTTACGTTCTTATACTCAGCAATATTTAACTTCTTCCAGAGCTGACTTCACATATGTTAATCCTTCTGCCTGGAACATTCTTTACTGCTCTTCTTCTCTGAGATAAGTCCTGCACATCTTGAAGTTTCAGTTTAATCTCTTTCTTCAGGAATTCTTTTCTGATCATCCTCTGAACTAGGTTAGGCGCTTCCACAGGATTTGGTCTGCATTCGTCATAGTTAGTACCTACAAATCACACCTTATTGAACGAGTTGCTCAATTGTCTTTCCCCCTTCAGTTCCTATAAGCTCTGTGAGGACACAGACTACATTTACTTTGTTCACCTAACCAGTGCCTGACACACAGACAGTACTTTATGTATTTAAAATAAATATTTTAAATGTTTGAACGGAGTAAATCAATATAAATTTTTTTTATTTTTTCATTGTATTAACAATCTTGAAATCTGAATTAACACTTAATTGGGATAAATTTCTTCTGAAATGCATGAAAAGGAATATACATAATACTCATATCATATATAAAATAAAAAAAACCATGGAGGCAGCTATTCACTAAATGAGAAAATGAAATATTTCAAAAGCAAATTATTAATGTGAAATTTTCATGGGCTATGATAGAGGTTGAAAGAGAAAGACAATAAGTTAACATTCAAGAAGGAAAATTACTGTGATTATATTTAAGAAAAATGTATTCTTGACTTCAGGTGGCCTCTGAGAACCTTTTATCAAAAACCATTTAGGTCAAAGTAAAAGCGTGTTACCTTGTCAGCGTGATCTGGAAGAAAGTATAGCCAGCAATGAATGAAGCCAACCTTGTCAGGCTCTGCTTTCCCGATCCGCCCACCCCAACCAGGAGGGCATTTCCCCGAGGAGTACGAATGACTCGAGAGATCTGTAATGTGGAATAGAAAAGGCATGTATCTTTCAATATGTAAACATTCTATTTTTCCCTATTTATTCCATATAAGAATAAGACCAAATAATTATTTTGGAGAACACAGGTGTCTCAAGATCAGACTGGAGAGATTCACTGGTTGGAAGAACAAAAGCATTTCTGAAATAGAATAGCATTTAGAGTGCCTGGGATGGGGTGGGGCCAGTGGATTGTGCCTTTAGGAACTGGGAAGGCACCAGCATAGAAAGTCAGCACACAGTCGACTGTGCTTGCTCTGGGGTTTGAAGGAGGTAGATAAAGGGGACTTCGAGGTTTCCTTTTGGTTTGGCCAACCTAACGCAGTGTGACAGGAAACAGATCAGAAATGGCAGAATAATGTCTACTCCTGTATGCAGTTGGTTAGAATATCCTCCACATTTGTAAAGCAATAGAGACTTTAAATTGAAGGGAAGGAACTCAAAATACGGTATAGATGTTCAAATTTTTAAAGAAAAAAAGTAGCATAAGCACTCTCTCATTATTTGGGAAAGACAATGATACCTAACATATCTACCAGAAGTGATTATAGATGGGTCAGAAGACCACTCCACACTGGTCAGCAGCCCCAGACCATTGCAAATCCCTTTCATGGTAGCAGTCCATGTATATTTGGCTTTAGTACTGAATGAACTACTTACACTACCAGGCTTCCCACCCCACTTAGAAGAGAGTTGGCATGGAATTCTCTTTGACACTCTTTTTTTTAATACTTTATGCAATAACGATTTCTCTTTCCCTCCTAACTGCAGTTTGAGCCTGAGGTATTGCTGCAATATCCACTTTTCTTAGACAAATGATGGTTGGGGGGCTGCAAGGAGTCACTTCTCCGTGGCTGGGGAAACTTCCCGGGGTGACTGCGGCTCTGCATTCTGCCAAGGTTTCGTTAAATGTCCTTTCTCAGAATTCCCTCTTCTAGTGGGGTATATTCTATTCCTGTTGGGAATATCCTTGGGTTTTGGATTACTTCCCCAAATTTAATGTGAACTCTAGGAGAAGGAGACCATTTTTCCAGTCTTTATGTGGACCCTGAGAACCTGCTCGACAGTTGGGTGCTTAAGCCCTGTTTTCCCAGCCTCCTACTCATCCCTCTGCTCTCCAAAGTCATTGTGGGTGGAGGGGGTCCTACAAGTCTGTTCATATCGCCCCTGGTACAACTTCGAAAGAAACAGACAGGGCAGGTAAGGATCTACCTGAAGCCACACTAGAACCTCCGGTGTCTTTCCTTGGTTGCCACCTTTCAACCATCAGTCATTTCCTTTGTTTGATGCAGGTAAATATATTAGGGGGTTATATAAATTTTGTTAATTAGGTATTCAGGAATCTTCATCTCAACTATTTTGCCTGTGACTAGGCTGAGTTCTTATATTAAAATTTTCCATTTCCAGTTTGGGACACACAATAAACCCTCAAAACATATTTGATAAATGAACAGATACATGCATAAACATATAGAAGCATTCATTTCATAATCCTACGTGAAGTATCTCAAGATACACAAACACCACATGTATTCACTTATAAGTGGGAGCTGAATAGTGGGTATACATGGCCACACAGAGTGGAATAAAGGACTTTGGAGATTTGGAAGGAGACAGGATCGGAGGAGGGTGAGGGGTCAGAAACTATCTATGGGATTCGATGTATACTATTCCAGTGATGGGTACACTAAAAGCCCAGACTTCGCCACTATATAATTCAACCATGTAACAAAAAAAACACTTGTACCCCCTAAATCTATTGAAATTAAAAAATAAATAAACAAAAGCCTTCAAAAACAGTCACAAAAAATCTCATGATCTAGTTAAAAACAGTGATTATAGGAGAAAACACCGAAATGTGAGACTCTCAAATGTGGTGATTTTTTCTGTTATATACGAATTGTGAGAGAGAGAGATTCATTTTTTAACTCCATAAGCAAATATTTAAAAGTTAACAATGCTCATCCTGGCCTGCAGGGGAGACAGACAGGGTAATGCACCATGGTGAACCCTGGCACAGAGACTGGAACGATGGCAATTGAAGGACAGAATGCAGAGAAAACACTGCCACCTGGGCATGGCATGCCAAGTCTTAGGTGTGGAGCTGGAATTTGATCCGGATCTTGCAAGATGACTAGAAGTTTATTACACAAAGAAGGTGGCAGGCTAGGCAGGGTTTGGGCTACATTTTAAGAAGAACTAATGGGACACACAAAATCTCAGAGTCAGCAAAAAGCCCGAGGTTTCCCTATCCGGTGGGCACTTCAGCATGGGGTAAGGAAATAGCAGCAAAGGGTTATTTAGGGCCATATTGGGGACTTGCTTAAATTCCAGAGGGTTTATCAAGAGTCTCCCATGTGACCATCCCAGCAGCAGCTCATCCTGTGAAGGCGGGGTGCTCACCCTCACAGGCTTACCTTCCAATAGGGGAGACAGACACACAAACAGATAAACTCTACACAACACAGTATGGGCAGGGGATGCATATTGGTGAGGCGCTCCAGGATCGCGATGTGTTTGACCAACAGCAGTTCGTTTTTCCGGATTACACGAGGCTGGTGGGTAGGCAGGGGCCAGATCATGAGAGGCCATATGCTCTCTAGTTTGAACTTCCTCCAAAGAGGCAAAAGGGACATTACAGAGATACACTCTGTGTTGAAAGAAAATCAATACTTTAATTAAGACAGAAACTAAGAAATATACTTGGTCTCCTATCACATCCTGTTTGGCTGCAGTTTTTGTCTCCAATTCTGTCTCTTGGCTGCTACCATGCCTGTAACTAGGCCACATATTTCAAGGCGCAGGCCCGCACGACACAAAATGTAAATGCACTGTGCAAAGAAGACAAGAGAGTAGAACAGAGGGTCAGTCTAGAAGATGGAGAGGAACGTGGCATTTTAGCTCAAAAACTGCAGTCACGCATTCTTTGGCCAGTTCCAGAGGAGACAGGCAAGAGGCTGAGAGTGAAGGAAAACACTGGCAAGGGCCCGAGCCGAGGCACCCACGCCACCACTGTCATGCCCAGACGGAGCAAAGAAAGCCTCATCGCATGTTGTCTGGGCTGCGAAACACGGGGGAAAACAGTTCTAGTGAACTTGCTCCAGCACAAGACGAACATAAATAACCTCATCTTCAATTTGAGTTGTTTTGAAATACCAGGCCAATCAGATCCTGTCTCCAATAGACAATTTGTCATGAAGTTGCCTCTGGTACATCTCATTTGGAAAATATGTTTTTCTCTTTTTTTCTTCCTTTTAATTATTGAATATAACAGAACATTCATTCTTCCGGAAACAATTTTTAATCAACTATAAATTAGGAGCTAATTTCAACATGCTATTTGCATTTGGCTTCGGAAGGACATTTGGGCTCAGTACAGATGTCTCTGATTCTGAGACGTCACAGAGTTGCCAAGCTAAGCGCCCTGAGACTGCAGAACGCTGCCCCAGGACAGACTCTGACTTATGCCAGCCTTGCAGAAATGCTTCCCTCTCCTTCTTGCACCGAGGCAATCCCCATTTTCAGAGGGAGGGTTGGTTAGATAACCTCTAAAACCCTTATTTGTAAGATTCAGTAATTATTAGAAATGACAATTTGTAATCACGCAATCGTTCCTCATGGTTAAACATAAGTCATGGAAGACAACCTCCAATTGCTTTCTTTCTAACTGAAAAGATGTAGTCTGAAAAAGCAATTGATGTCAACAAAGTGTGAATATCAACAACGAATTTTAAATGGTATTATTTTGCACCATACATAAATTAGAGCACAAGTTTTCAAGTAAAATAATATATTTTACTTCCAACCTTTGAGGACCAACTGTCCTAAAAACATATACTGCAAAGACTCATATGACAAAGTAGAATGGAAACTACACTTTCCTGGTGGATTTCATTCTAATAGAATTTTCATCTGCTCAGTCAACTGTATGTTGTTTTTTAAATTATTTTTAATTGTGGTAAAATGCACATAACATAAAATTTACCATCATAACCATTTAAGTGTGTGGTTCAATAACATGAAGTACATTCACAAGATCATGCAACCACCACCAACAGCCATCTCTAAAACTTTTCTTCGGCCCCAATCCCCTCTCCACCCAGCCCCTGGCATTCTCCATTCTACTTTCTGTCTCCATGATTCTGACTACTCCAGGTACCTCATATGAGTGGAGTCATACAGTATTTGCCCTTTTGTGTGCCTGGCTTATTTCACTTAGCATAATGTCCTCAAGGTTTATGCACTTTTTTAATAAGATATTCTTTACATGAGACAAAAATAAGCAGGCTTTGCCTATGCTTTGAACTCAGATGTCAACCATATTCATCCTAGGGGGTGAAAACATTGAGCTGGAAGCTGTGTAGCAACACTGAATAAAATTATCACATCACACCACATTTGAAATACACGTGCTCTTATTTCAATCCTACAAGGTGTGACATGCTGCATTCAGTTTAGAAATTAAATTGGAAGATAGCATTGACTTTATTTTTAAACTGGATATTCTCCTAGGAGATGAAAATCAGAAGAGGAGAGGATTCTGGCGTGAAGCCAAGTGTCTATCACTTTGTCAAGGCTCTACTCCCGCAGCTACTGTACCTTGACTAAGTGAACCATCGCATCTGCAAAGAACACCATGTCCATGCCAGCGCCGCGGATGCTCTCATTATACAGCTGCAGGAACATATTCAGACGCTCTTTTAGCTGACTGAAAGATTCAATTGGCTCATAAATTTTGGGCATTTCAGCATCACCCTCCTCAGATGTTTCACCTTTGGTGGGAAAAAAGAATCCATTAAGTTT